ACTGTATGTCATTAATAAAAACAGTATTTTAAAAAGCTTCCTGAAGGATTTTGATTACGGCTGAAAGGTGAATAGCAGCACGGCCAGGAAAAGGAGTTTTTTTCGTATATAACAGCCTGCTGTTTCAGAAAGGTGCCATCGCTCCCGCCCTGTCACTGGGCTGCTGGCAATGTGATGATGGTGAATTGGGCTTGGTTGGGCACTCCAGGATCCTTAAGGTACCGTGATATCAGCCCATTTCAAAGCCACTATGAATTGAATGCAGGAATGAACTGGCAACCTGTCCGGAAGATACCCCCATAGGCTCCATTCCTCAAGATTCAGAAAGCTTTCTGGACCACTCTCTTAACACCGCCCAAAACACAACCAGGGATGGAAGTTCCCTGGCACCACTTTGGACATTGACCCCTTAATGTGGCACGGTGAACCCTGTTCCGCTTCAGGCAGAAGTTCCATCAGGACGTCTAGTTGATGAATGGGGGCCCTGCTGAGCAGTCCACACCACTCAAGAGGCTCATCCTCATTTTGCCTATTTACTGTCCGTTTCAGCGGTTGAGGAAGCTGAGTTGAAGCCAGATTGGAATGAATCCCCGTTATCTAAAAGTACGTTTGGCTGGGGTTGCAGCTGCATGCTTGTCTTAAGAATTATAAGTCCAACGGAAGGTGATAATGAATGAAATCAGATGTATCAAACAACGTTTCACTACGGTGGAGTTCCTCAGCAGCTTTCTTAAGAGTTGCTGGGGCCTCATTTGTTTTAAGTCGCATTTATTACTTTCTACTGCTAAGCAACGAACCCAGGCATCTGCCAGGTGTGGTCCAAAAAGTCAAGATGGCGGTTGCAACAGTGTGCCTGAAGTTCTACCTGCAAAAATGGGCAGAGTTTCAATCACATTGTGGTAGCTGTCATCTTGACTTTTTGGACCACACCCTGCAGACACCCCTAAATGAATCCACTGGATTGGGAACAGTGGAAAACATGTTTAGCTTCCTTTTAATGCAAACGTTCCTAATCTGCATTTCCTGAAATTACACATAAAACGGAACGTAGCCACGCTCCAAACTTTCCCCAATTTTTTAATACAGGTTTGCATATGTATACAATGCACACGTAGCAGGACCGTACGTAAAAACGTGCAGGTTTTATGAAGATTCTGTTTTATGAAGATCATGAAGATTCTTTTTTAAATCACAGAAACTGAAGATTGGAAAAATGAGAAATTGAACAAAAGCTTAACTTGAACGATCCACCTGTCCCTGATTTGGCCTTTTTACTGAGCCAAGATGAATACTGATTTGAGTTGATGTGGCTTATGCAGTAACCCCGCCTCCCCCGAAAGTGAGTTCTAGAGTAGACTCAAAGCGAGCGCGGTGCTGTGGAGAAGGCGTTGAACTGGGAGCAGGGAGACCCAGGTCAAGTCCACCCTGGAGCTTCCCTGGGTGACTTTGGACCAGCCAGACTTTCTCTTCCCAGCCCACCTCCCAGGGTTGTTGTGGAGAAAAATAAGAGGGAGCAGTATGTGGGCCACCTTAACCTCCTGAATGAAAGGCAGATATAAATCTAATAAAGAAAGAAAAGTGACAAGATAAGTTTCCATTCTCAAAACTGTAGGAATCGATGAAAGGGCGTGTTGCTTTATCGATGAAGAATGTTGAGATCTCATCACAGCTGGATCTGCATCTTTTACCAATGTTTGTTCATTGCCATAGAGTTCAGTAGCTGCATGGATGAATGGTTGCTATCTCGACTGTCTCCTGTAACAACCTGATGCTTTTCCAAGAGCATTCCAGTAATCAACTTGATCCTTTCCATCCACGTATTCCACTCTCTTCCCTTCCTTCTACTTCCCTCATTCTTGGCAAGCATTTTTTCCCCTTGCGTTATGGGCCAAAGTATGTGAGCTTCTGATTGCTGATCACTTCCTTAAGGGAGCAGCGAGACCACGGTTTTAATTATTTGGATCTTTCTCGTCAGGGATATCTTCCCAGAGGCCAGGTTTTTCTTTACTGGATAATGCTGGTGATGGGTCACCACTGTCAGAGAGTTGGCTCCAAAACTGGTTCCTGCATTTCATCAGATTCAGCCAAATTTGTTAAGACTGACACCCTATGTGGCCCTATCAATTTCTTTCAGCTCCTCAGAAAAGAATGGAGAGAAATAATCATCTACTTATGATATGGGCTTCTCCAGGAAATGGAAATAGTCTGGACCTAGAAGCTGCAGGGATGGGTGGCCATTTGAATCTGCTCCTCCGCCTTGCAGAAGTCGGACAGGCTCTCATCGAGACCAGACACGGGGAGTTTTAGCTCCTTATTTTCCTTTAAGAAGAAGCCGTCTTAGTTTGGTGGCTCAGGAAACCACTTCTCATCCTCTTCCCTGGTTTTATGTGCCGAGAGAAGGAGAGCAAGCAAGACGATGGTTGTTTCTCCTCTTTTTCCAACACGGGAGAAAGGGCAACCTCAGTTTTCCTTCCAAGGTCAGGGATGTTGCAGGAGTGAAGTTTTGCACGGAGACGCTGAGATTGCCCTGCAGGCAGAAACCTCTCCTGCACTTCCTCCTCCTTCGGTCTGCTTCTCTCTACAGCCTTATTTTCACGGTAGGCTCAGAGGGCAGGAACAGCGTCCACCACCGGGTCCGTGGTGAGAGCAGGATGTCAAGGAGGTTCGCTCCAATGAGGTAGCGATGTGGCACCAGGACGCTTCCACATGGAGTTGCATCAGCAAACTTTTTAATTTTATTAAACAAGTAGGGTTGCTCTGTATGTAGGAAAGGAACGTGCCAGAAAGGCATTTTAGCCCGGCTCTCTCCCTAGCATGCTTTTTTCCTAAGAGCAGATATTTTCTGCTGCCAGGATACCGCTTCCTCCTGTTCAACGACAGCTTTTGTTTCTTACGCTAATTGGCCTAATTAGCTGTGGAACTGGAATATTTCTTTTCCCCTCCCCATAACTCAATTCTACCAGGTTCTTCCAAGTCAACTCGAGGGGAAAAAAAAATGTCTGAATCATATTAAAGGCTGAAAGGGCTATCCTTTCCCACTTCTGTTAGGCAGCAGACTTTACATTAAAATATTACTTACTTACGAATCACCCCTTGAGATGATGGGCTCATTTTTATTGCACTGAATAAAACTGATTCCCAGTTTCATATATGCAATTACAATGTATGATTTGTTTTTAAATTTGATTATATACCTCTTTGTTTTTAGTCCCAAATCACATATTCGGGAAATTCTCTGCTGCTCAAAGTCAGCAGACTGGAGCAGCCAATAAGCCTTGTCAATAAATAAATAAAATAAATAAATCATAGCTGAAAATTGTATTCAGTTTGGATTTGACTGAATTCAGGACCATTAAACTGGTAAACAAAAAAAGCCCTATAGGGTTATACCGCAGGAAGATAGCTTTATATCAGCCTTCCTAACAGAAATATCCCCAGATCTTTTGGCTGTCAACATTATCAGCTTCAGGCCACATGGTTGGTGGTTAGAAACTGTAGCCCCAAACAGGATTCCTCAACCTTGGCAACTTGAAGATGGGGGGGGTGACAACTCCACCGGTCCTCCCCTCACTCCAGC